AACCATAAAGGAACTTAGAACATTTCTGGGAATGATAAATATCTTTAGACGTTACTTAAAAAATGCAGCGGAAACACAGGCACCTCTACACGAAATGTTAAAGGGCGCAAAGAAAAATGACAGACGGCCTGTGCCATGGACAGAGGAAACCATACAGTGTTTTGAAAAGTGCAAAACAGTTTTGGCTAATGCTGCCCTCCTTAGTTTTCCCAAATCTTCTCTACCATTATCCTTATGCACTGATGCCTCAGATGTAGCTGTTGGTGCTGTATTGCAACAACTAGAAGATGGAGATTGGAGACCAAACAGCGCACATTGTCAGCATAGCCTTTTACGAAAACTGGATAACCCGTTTGGTGTGCCTACACAAATAATAACAGATCAAGGGAGGCAATTTGAATCACAACTGTTCAGAAGTTTGGCTGTGATATGTGGTGCTAAAGTACAGCATACAACACCATATCACCCACAGAGTAATGGAAAGGTGGAACGTTTTCCCAGAACCTTAAAAACAGCCATAAAGGCCCATTCCAACATCCGATGAACAGAAAGCTTACCTACAGTGCTCTTAGGGTTGAGAACGGTTGTTAGACCAGATACCAATTTTTCTATAGCCCGAATGGTCTATGGTACACATATTAAAGTACCTGGGGAATTTTTTACCCCGCCAGAGCAGTACATGGACCCTGAAACTTTCGTAACAAGATTACAGCGTTTCATGGACCAACTTCGACCAGCCAAATCACCTATTATTACTTCACAAAAAGTATTTGTTCACAAAGATTTTAAATTGTGTACTCATGTATTTGTTAGGGTTGATAGAGTAAAGAAAGGTTTGGAACCTGCATATNTTTTCTGTTGTGGAGAAATCCGATAAGTATTTCTCAGTGTTAATTAAAGGAAAACATGTAAATATTTCGATCGATAGGCTAAAGCCAGCCTATTTGTTAGCAGAAAAAGAACCACCGGATACAAATAATGACCCTGACGAAAATGCTTTTAATGTACATAATAATGACCAAAATTTAATTACTCGTAGAGGTAGAAAAATTCTAAAACCTGTAAGATTTAAGGATTAATCATGTTCATGTATTCACCCCATCATCATTAATTTAATTAAATGATATTAGTGAGTCACGATGGCATGTGTGAATAGTGAATTTTACTTTGTTTCATTAGTTATAATTTAAGGCTATATCATCCAAATTATGTGAATTTTATTTCAAACTACAAATTAATTTATATTTATCAATTTTAAATGATTTTTATATTAACTAATTGAAATATGTGATATATAAAAAATAATTTCTTTTTACGATTTTAACCGTCCACTATGTAAATATATAAATTCTCTTGTTTATTGGTTATACAGATTATGTGCTGTGATTGTATGTATTAGCACCATGTATATGTATAAAAATTAATTCTCAAGCCTATTTTCTAACATCGTAACTTAGTTGCTGGTGAGGGAGTAATGTGGCGGCAAGAAGCCAATAGATGG